TTTGCAAAAGCATTCTGCTATGAAGCTACACTACATGGTCAAAACTTTGTGGACAGCTGACCATCACAACTACTATAAAGGCCAAATGTATGTGGGCACCTCTACAAATGGTTGAGTTGGGGGGGTCATCAATGTTAGAGCATACAAAGGCATTTTATACAGCAGACATAAGGTCACTTCCAGTCACTAGACATGGCAAACGGACGGCTCGGGGTGCTTAAAAGGGGGTTGGAGGTTAACTATTGCTAGGTTCATCTGCAGAGAAGGGTACAGTATACCCCTAAACTTTGGGTTTGGGGTTCTATCACCTGCCTAACTGTGTTGCCAATTGGTACTTTCTTTTTCCCCTTCACAGTTCGGTGGTAGGTCTTATATTACAGAGATCCGCTAGGTCTTACTTTCGGGGAAGCGGCACATAACTGTGTAAAAACCGGCCGCAGCTCCCGCCCCACACACACGCCCGCCATTCTTTATATTTGTATATAGGACGTCACTGGTACATATGTGTAAATGCAACATTGTACCCCCCTTGCTGCACGTTGCCATTGTATGTTGTTTCATGTTACACTATATACATTGCACTGCTCTGTTACCGTATCTGAGCCTAGATCTAGGCTATGACTATTTATCTTGGATACACTATTTGCAGAATACATATATTGGTGTTGGTGTGCTTTATCATTTTCTATAGGACATCTGCTAGTTTTTGGGTGTTTGGAAGCACCCATTAGAATCCTAGCACACCGGTACTGGATTTTCATTTGCTTTAATTACTTTTTTTGAGTTTGAGGACACATTACATTTTAGTCAACCATGTACTTCCAACCTTGTGGCAACAGTTTGGGGTAGAGGCCTTTTCTGTCTCAGCATGACTGTTCCCCTGATGCATATACCCAGTACAAAATGAGTTGAGGAGTTTGGCGTCGAGGAGTTGCTTACACAAGGCCCTGACACTTCAATCCTATTTAACACCGTGTGATTGAAACACTTCCTGTCCATAATCAGCGTCTGAGCTCACAAATACATTTTTCCTGAATGGGCACCAATTCCAACAGACATTCTTCTAAAGGCCAAAATCCTGCAGAAAGCCTTCCCAAAAGACTGAAGGCTGTTTAAAGGACTATGAGGTGAGTGCTTTTCACTCACCTCATAGTTCTAGCCGACCTGTGACAATGAGACTGTCACAGGTCAGCTCAGTAGATCGGGAGGTGAGCGAACACATACCGGCGTTCGCTCACCTCTCGATCCTGTCACGGCTCTCTGCCGTGACAGGGGAGGGGCTGGATTCCCCGCTCCGATCCGCCAGCGCTGACTGGCGGAACGGACGGGGGAGGGGGCGGGTACAGCTGGCTCTGCCTCTAGATAGGCAGAGCCAGCTGTCAGTCACGCAGCTGGGCGGATCCCGGCACAATTGTCGGGATCCGCTTTAGCTGCGGCGTCTCATAAACCGCGAGCAGCAGCTCGCTGCTACAGCTAGCGGTATACTGAGCCTAGGGTGACGTGAGGACGCTAGTTTGTGGCCTCCCGTTACCCTAAGGAGAACTATGGGGAAAAGCCTTAAACCCATAGTTCTCCTTTAAGCCTAAAAGAGAAGGCGGAAGGGGGCTCCATGATTGTCCATGGTTCTAGACTAGGATGTCCAACAGGCTTGTACAGGTCTCCACAAACTTTGAGCCATATAGCATACCTCCAGCAATTAGGCGACAGAAGGAACCAAAACTAGTTAGTTCTGCAAGCAGGGGGGTCCAGGCAGTGGCGTCACAAGGGGGGTGCGGGCCGCACCCGGGTGCCACCATTGGAGGGGTGACACCAAAATGACTCAGTCATTTTGATGTCACCCCCTCTGAAAAGTCGGGCGATCGGTCATGGACCGAACGCCCGACAGTATCAGGAGAGAGGAGGGGACCCGGAATCTGAATTGAGGCCAGGTTCACACCATTTTGCGGACCAGATCTGGAACGGGGTGCATTGCATTTTGCCGAGTTTTTACCACATTCAAGCGTTTTGTTTTTTTTAGCTTAAAATTGACTTTCCAGTGTAGTCCAGTGCGCTTGTGATGCGTTTCTATGCATTCGGTGCCAGAGAAAATGAGACCAGCAGTATTTTTTTGGTCTGGACCGGAACGGACTGCGCTGGTGTGAACATAGCCCAGTAATACCATAGGGATACATTGGGATGCTTTTTTAGTCCGGGAACAAACTGTTCTGGTGTGGACATGATCCGGACATGGTGTGAAGAAGCACATAGGACACACTCCAGCTAAACGTTTTTAGGAAACTAACCATTAAACGTGACCCAAAAGGAATTGTCCATTTTTGGGTAAATTACAGCATGGAAATACCTCACTGGAAGAGGGTGGAAATACATCTGTGCCCTCTATTGTATGTTCCTAGGTAAATATTGAGAGCTAAATTAGTTCTATCACAGGTGATCCAGGGGGTTGAGCTCCAGAAATAGATATCTGCTCCCAAGTTCACAGCTCCACCCACAAGCACCTGTCAGCACTATGGGGGTTTACCCTTTTTGTTAGATTTTTTTTTTTATTGATTTGCACGATGAAGAGTAAAGCAAAATGTAGTCGTCAGTGGGGGGTGAAGCAACAGGAATTGAAAAGCCAAAACTTTTATTCTTGGTTTAGCATAGAATTCAAAGAAGTTGGAACTCCTGCCTGGTTTTCTTTTTGCTGTCCACTGGGAGATGCCCCCTAACTTTCCCTGAATACCACTGTCAACTTTATAGTTGTCACCAGAACAGGAATACTGAGGGTAAAGCTTCCAATACAGAAAAACACCTGGTCTACTTACAACCAAGATTTCCTCACTTCCTTTTGTTTCTCAGGGACAGGAAGTGAAGAGTAATCTGCCCAAAGGGACACAACAACTGACAGATCTTCTAACCATTCTCTACTCCAGTGTTTCTTCAACTATGAATTAGGTCTTAGACTGGGTCATTGACATTTGTGATGGGTTGCAACATGATTGTGTAGTAAACTTATCCTAGTTTGCCAAGTTTGCTTTTGGGTCCCTGGATAGTAAAATGTATTTTATTTGGGTCCTTGGATTGAAAAAATGTAGGTACCCCAGCCCTATTCTATCCAAAACATAAAAAGTCTTGGCTTTAATTAACAGAAGCTGCACAACTTGAGAGATTGCAAAAAAGTTGTTGGTTACCCCCCACGATTCAGAGACAGGTATGGGCAGCTGCGTCATTCAATCCTGTTGACCAATTACAAATTGACAGATTTTTACTGTTACATTACTTGATTCTCACAAGACTGTTACCATTACAAGTATTTTGTAGAGGTGCACCGAAATAGAAATTTTAAAATCAAAACCGAAATTTAAAAAATTGTCAGGCCGAAACCGAAAATGTTTTTTATTTTAATTTTTTAAAGATTTATTTTTATTTATTCATTCATTTTTTCTTAAATATTTTTACTTTACTTTTAGGGGCTTTGGGGAAATATTAGGGGGTGACCCCTGATATTTCCCTTTTAAAATAGAAAAAGAGATTGAGAACACAGAGTCCTCAATCTCTTTTTCTGCAGCCCCTATTATCAATGAACAGGAATCCTCTATACTGAGTGTTCCTGTTCATTCATAACATGAGGACAGAGTATGTTTCCTATAACCACAATCGTGAATGAACAGAAGGTGATGTAGATCACTTCCCATTCATTCATAATTGAGGATATAGTACACATACCATGTCCTCAATTATCAACAAACACTCAGACATCACTGATCGCTGAGTGTGTTTGCACTCGCTCTCCTCTCTGACAGCTGTCACAGGAGGCTGACCGAGCGGTGTAGGGATGTGAGCTCAGCCTCCTGTGACAGCGTGGGCTGTCTCCGCCCCCACACCGCTCTGCCGCACTGTAATAGGTGGCCGAGCGGTGTGGGAGGAGAGACACCGGCCGCTCACAGCGCTCTTGTCCCGCAGCGCTCGGCTCTCACTTTCTCTCCACTCCGCTGGGACACAGAGCAGCGCCCAGCGGGAAGGAAAGAAAGCAGGGATGCGCCGATCGGCAGGAAAACTGCACTTTCAGCATTTAGCCAAAAGTGCCATTTACGGCCGATATGTTTCAGTGTCCGATACATGGAAGACAGCTGAAGGAGATCAGCAGTAATGAGCCACAAAAAGGTAAAAACTGTATTTTCTGAAAGAAAAAAAAGACAATTTGTTTAAGATCCAAGGCACTGTAGCCAACGAAATGCCATCCAGTTAAGGTTTACATCTACTTTAGGCAGCTCCATGTGATAGCGAGCAGTAAACATGTGAATATTGCTAATAAGGAAAGTGGTGCTTTCAAGAACCACAAGTTCACGCCACTTCCTGAAGAGGTATGGAAGGTGAGAATGACAGTTTGTGCAGATGTTTCCAGGCCTCCTCCTCCTCCTCCCTTTGTGGCCACCCCATTTCCTAAATCACATTATTAGAAATGTGACTTATGGTTTCAGGTCTACCACTGAAAAGCGTATAGAAAGCTAAAGGGGGGCGGTTAAAACCCCAGTCAGGAGTTTATTTTGGTCCGTCACCCCATTGCTTGTGAGACCCATAGGAAAAAAAATGGAGGTTTTTCTGTAGGTAAGCGACCTCATCCTGATAGGAAATGAGGGGAAACCTACTCAATGGGGATGCACCTGACAGACCACTCTCTGCTCTGTACATTTGGCAGGAGTTGTGCTTTGCCTGCCAGGTCTCCACTTGATACGGAGTTTGCAAATTCAAAAATAATTCAAATTTTAATGTCATTACGGCCGAGCATCTTCATCCGCTAAAAGTACTTTATGCTTGCGTTAGTAAGAGGTAAGAAAGAAAAATACAAACATTTGTTGGAGAAGAGGGACAGCATGTTCTCAGACCTTGAGCTTTAGGTTCTGTCCAGCAATGCCCTTTCAAAGTGGACATGGCACTACCAGCTTTCACAAAGCCGTTCCTACCACCACCTCTGTAGACTACATTTTCTTGCCCCACTTCCACCGACAACAACATTCAGGCTATTTTAATAATTTTGTTGTTTCCACTGGAACTTTTTGAAGTTGGACAGGTTTCCACTAAAATATTCCTTAGAATAATCCTTTACTTTACTTTTGTAATATTAGCACTGCCTGTTGGTGCACCCCAAAGTTACGCCTATCTTCCCTTGGAACACGATGGGTACAGGGCATGTGTACATTGAAGGAAAAAAACTTTACAAGATGAAGATGCACCACCCAACTGGGATAACATCTCCTGGTATACCTCTCTGCAGAGAGGGTGACCATGGTGTCCTGGACCTACCTGGACTGAGAGGGTGGGGATAGATAAGCTGGTTACCAGGCTAGTGCTGCCCATGAGCTGACAAGACATACTAGGGAGCGAGCTTAGGCCAATCTGGAATCGCACTGTAAGCAAATAGTGTTCACCAGTCATAGAATTCATAAGGATGCCACTGGCGACTAACGACTTAAAGTGACATTAAAGGATAAAAAAATGCCCCCCATGCTGGCATAAGGAGTAGGACTTACCTTAAATGATGCCTCTTGATCTGATCATCATCTTTTTTGCTGTAGTCTTCGAGAGTCCCTCCAGCGATGGTGCCGGTTTCCGATCCAGCGCTGACTGCTGTGTCTTCCTGTCCCACACAGTCTATCCGAGTGCACGCTGCCGGGCTGCTTACATTGACTGTGTCTCTCCTCTTCTCCCGGCCAAAGATCTCCTACTGCGCAGGCGCCCGCCCCATGGTCGTTCATGACCGCTCAAGACTTTTTTCAGATCTTCGAACAGGAGCAAACCGGGGGAGACACAGGTAAGTAGTAACCTTTTTGGTGTGTCTACTGCTTGCTAGCAATGGATATATGCCAAAAAAAGCAAAACAACAAAAAACAGTTTCATTATACTTTTAAAAATATGCAGTCAAAAATGAAAGTTCTGGACAGAGAAGTGAAGGGATAGCAACCACATTAGAGGTTTATTGTGATCTATGTCCTCAGTGATTAAATCTACCCTCTCTTTGTCTTAAGGGCCAAAGTCACCAGGACTTATTGCGGGGCGAAATTTTACATTTGGTGTTGTCACCTTAACCGGAATAGAAAGACCATCTTCCCATGGGATCATGTATTGAGGTGACAACAGTCTAATGGAGGATTTTCCTCGCTTTGGAGTCTACGAATCAGGAAGTAAAGGAGACTCTGCCCAGTGCAACCCAGACCCGTCACTATTCTATCATTCAGAAAAGTTTTAACTTAAAGGAGAACTATGAGGTGAGTGCTTTTCACTCCCCTCATATTTCTAGCCGACCTGTGACAATGAGACTGTCACAGGTCGGCTCAGTAGATCGTTCGCTCACCTCTCGATCCTGTCACGGCTCTCTGGCGTGACAGGGGAGGGGCTGGATTCCCCCCTTCCCGCTCCGATCCGCCAGCGCTGACTGGCGGAACGGACGGGGGAGGGGGCGGGTACAGCTGGCTCTGCCTCTAGATAGGCAGAGCCAGCTGTCAGTCACCCAGCTGGGCGGATCCCGGCATTATTGTCGGGATCCGCTTCAGCTGCGACGTCTCAGTATACCTCACGGTATACTGAGCTTAGGGTGTCGGGAGGACGCTAGTTTGTGTCCTCCCGTTACCCTAAGGAGAACTATGGGGAAAAGCCTTAACCCCATAGTTCTCCTTTAAGATATGTGTTCATTAACTGGAGGTCTGGAAGGACAGTTCCAGAGGACACATTTTAGATGCTTGCTCCTACTCCCTACTCCTACAGCACTTGCTTGCCACGATCCTTGAGTTTACAACAAAGCACAACCAAAAGGGTACTAGCCACATCCAAAAACCAGCATTCACAATGCCAACCAAAGTAAAGGAAGCATCCATAACACGTGTTAAATTGATGCAACCACATCACCAGAGTCAAGTCAACAGGAACTAATGCAATGTGTTAAAATCTAAACCCCAACCCCTAAAAGCAATGATAAAATCCTCAAACCTAAGTAATCCTCTCTTCACAGATTTCTTGCCAGACAAAAAACCCAAACCCACCAACAAAAACCGAGTTTCTGAATAATAATTTCAGCAACTCGTCCATCCTATCAGGCCACCTACAGTTGTCAAAGCCCCAGATTACCCCGCCATCAGTTCCAAAGTTTGCTTGTGAACAATCCATTTCCACTTTAACATGTGGTGAAGCTGACGGAAACTAGGCCGCAATACGATGCTCACTATGTATGGTTCAACGAGAGGACCTTCCTGGAGTCGAAAGGCAGCAATGTCACACTTTGAATCCCAGTTGCCATGGCGACTCCTTGCTACAGTAAACTAGATATTTTTCTTAATTAAATATCCAAAGCGAGCACGCTTTTTTTTTCCCTTCAGTTGCAATACCTCCCTCGCTCCCGTTCATGTGTGAAGGAAACAAAGATTTCGTGAAGGAGACGCTGCTTTATCCATAGTAATGGGGCTCGGGCTTTTCTGACCTGAATGTAAATAAAACATGTCAGTTGTGAAGGGGATGAAGTAAATGATCCGTGAGATGCGCCATGAACAGAATGTAAACCAAGAACACAATGGTATGGGGAAGGAACATTGACCTCCTCAGTGGGAGGATAGAGACCCAGCAGAAGACTCTATTGAGCAGCTCTGGAGCCTACAAGATACCAGATTAGTGTTCACAGGCTCCAAGACGGTCCATAGACATTCCAACAAAATCTACCCAAATCTATTATTATTTCCTAAAGCAGCAGCTCGAAACCCAAACCGCTAAAATCTACTCAGCAGACAAACTGCTAAATACCTAGATGGAGTACACTACCCCCCTAATCGTATAGTAACTGTAATGTCTTCCCTCTGTTGTAAAGCAGAGAATTTATACTGCCCTGCCGCACATAACAGCTCTCTCTGGCAAGGCAGGAGACCGGATTTTTATCTACTACAGTCAAGTAACACTTCCTGGTCTAGTCCTTACCCCAGCCTGAGACTGGGCAGGCAAAGGAGAAGACGACGACGGGATGTGCGTGCCAGGTGTCGTGTAGTGCAGGTGTGAACCTAGCCTAAAATGGTCTTACAGGTGCATTCCAGTGCATTTTTTATGTGTTTTTAGGCGTTCCAGACCAGACAAAAATAGGACATGCAGTATTCTTCTGGTCTGAAACAGACTGTGCTGGGGTGAACAGAGACCAGAAATAGCATAGGGGTACATGAGGATGCATTTTGGGTCTGGAAACAATCTGGTCTGGAGATGATCCAGACATGGTGTGAATGGGCCCTAAGGCCCCGTTCACATTGAGCGATTTATCGCGCGGTAATTCCCGCAATATCGTGGCTATTTACCGCGCGATATTGCTCTTCCATGCTTTGCAATGGGGCAAAGGGTCCTGCTGTCGCGGGTCGTGTGTCGCTACAGCAGGACCCCTTTTGGAGCGGATTTTGCCGCGATTCTCGCTTGCTCAATGCAAGCCTTTGCGCGATATCGCGCAAAATGCAAATTGCGCAACAAATCGCGCGATTTGCGAATCGCGCAGTGTGAATGGGGCCTAAAAGTAATCATGTGCAGCTGGCGCAGGAACACTTCATGTAGACAGGAAGTGGCTAAAGAGGCTGGATGAGATCAGCAGCACTGAGATGGAGAACTCATCGAGATCTCCAACTACCTCACTTCTGGTGCTCAGAAAGACTTGAGCTCTGTACAGTTGCGGTGTGCATGCGCGCATAGCGTTTTCACAATACTTGTCAAGTTTGCCACCTGCCGAGTATTGTTAAACTGCAGCTGTACAGAGCTCCGTCATTCTTTCTGTTTTGCAGTCCAACGCCGTCTCGTCGAAATCTCCAACTTGCAAGTACCCGGAAGTGAGGTAGTTGGAGCTCTTGACGAGTTAGAGCTTTTGATAGAACACCGGCACCTCCCACCAGCCATGATCAGCCTGCATTTCATAGGGGAGTACAGAGACCCAGCGATGTGATATAAGGCATGTAATGAAAAAGGGAAAAGTTTTAAACATTTCTCCAGCACAATTCACAAAAAACACAAATACATCCAGGAATGTCCTATGTGTGTATTTTGCAAATACATGAACTGGAGAGTGTGGCTTTTTTCTGTTTGTGGGGGAGATCTGATCCCACTAACTGTGTCAGAGACCATACAGGAGGGACGGGACGGGAGGGGACCCCCCAAAGAGCACCCAGACAGCAATTATAACTGACCAAGGCTCTGACGCTTGTCACATGCTTGCAATCTAATTGCACAACCTCCTGGAGATTTACTAATGACCATGCTGTGCAATGTTCTACTTGACAGGATATAAATGAAACATTAAAGTGGACGGAGCGTCAGATATATTTTTCAAGTGCAAACATTAGTGATGTGACACATTGTACTCTGCCGGCCTCTTCAACGTATTCTCTCCGGAAGGGCAGAACTGTCAATGATATCAAAAGTTCAGTCACCATCTAGGCTGTGCATCTACTTCCGGGACGGAAGTGCCGCATCAGAGAGGACCTACTCATGTAAATCACGGTGCCTGTGCAGTTCCTGGCTGCGATCACAAAATGTCTGGCACACATCTGCCCCTGCCGCAGCCTACCACCTTGTGACTTACTTGTGGGAAGACGAGACTGAGGAAATGCTTCCACCTGCCCGCAGCAGACTGATGACATCATCTCAGCCTGGGCAAAGTCACCGACTGGAGCTGAAGGACAGCTTTTGTAGCTGTATATTGCCAAGTCAGGAATCTATTCATGGAGGTTTGTAAAGTTACTGAAAAGTCCACTTTAAGTAGACTCTCCTGCTGAATGGTTGTCTGGAAATTCAAAGGAGATTGCACAGAGATTGAACAATTTATACTGCGTCTCGCAAGGTTACCCTTCACTTACTTATAGAACTCCGTGATGTTTAAAAATTAACCCTTGCAGTGAGGCTATTGGGGTTAACTGCTCATTTTTCTCTAGGGGTGGAAGGAAGATAACCTCACCTGATCCTCACCTCTCATCCCCTGCGGCTGTGGTATGTGCCTTGGCATCCTCACATCTAATAGACCTGTATTAGAAATGACATCATGGGTCCCTAGACCACCGGAGCCCAGGGGAAGAAGAGGCTGCGGCCAGGCAGGACAAAGGATCAGGTGAGTATATCTGCTTTATTTTCTCTCCCCCTAGACAATTTGAGGGTAAACCCTTGAGGGGG